GACTTCTACTTCAGAATTATACCAACAAGAAGAACGTAGTTGAGTTGTCATCCTTGAAAAGGAAAAATGGAGGCCGAAGCCCACGGGAATACAGAGTCGGACAGGGCACATAGGCTTTTGCTCTATAGTAACTAGTAAGCCCATGTAAAACATATAGTTAAACCCATCAAACTATTCTATGGGCTGGTAGGTTAAGGCTGTGGTAGACTCAAGGCATGCGAGCAGAACACGAAACTTCCATCATTTTACCACCTTATTGTAGTCATCATAATTGACAAAGATGGCAGAATCAAGAAATGGTAAAAGTTTCAATTTCTAACCATTACTCCAAATCTAAATTTGGTGGAAGAAAATAACTTTATTTATTTATATAAAGAATTGCTTATTATGTAATTAAAATTACATTGATTGTGAAATAAAAATTATTAAATATAATATAAATTTTAATGTTAAAAGATTCACTCCATTTAATAATTTAAATGTTATTTTTTACTGCACATCACATTTTTATTATATAAATAACGCAATTTCGCACATGAAATATAAATAAATAAATAAATAAATATATATATATATATAAAGTACTGAAAAATCGACGCATATGGGTATGCATATCCATGCAAAAAACAAAAGAATTATAAAAAAAAAATGCAAATCAGAAAAAAAAAGAAAAAAAAGAAAAGACAAAATGCAAAATCACAATCAAAACAATCAAATGTCCGCCGTCACGATCAGAAGAAATCAATTTAGCACTTGGTTGTCTCCGCTCCACCGGCCAACCCGCCATCAGAGCTGCTCTATGGGACTTTGACTTTCAAATCACACTCAATCTTGGGCTTAAACCTGCACGTCTTCAATTTCCCCAGCTTGAACCTAACCCTCAAATTCAATTTCACATCAATACTGTAAACTCCAGAATTCTTCTGCTGATTGCACTCGGAAACTCCATCAGCGCCGAGCAACACCAGTTTCTGCCGCTGAAACGAGGGGTTGAAGTAACTGGTACTCTTGTGCCCCTGATAGAACGGCGTCGGCTGTTGGGTAGCAAACCGTTGGTCCTCGTAGTACTCGTTGGCCTCGATGCGGTCGTAGTAGATGCCGATTTTCTTGTTGGGGTTGCGCACGGTGATGTTGAGGGCGAGTTTTAGTGGAGGTTGTTGTCAGAGGTGAGGTTGAATTGGGCAAGGGAGGCGTCTGTCATGTGGAACTTAACTACGTTGGGGCGGAATATGAGCCAGAAGATGAGGGCAGCCAGACCCAAGATGATGACCGGGGTGACTATGAGCTTGATAAGGAAGCTCAGGAGGCAGCAGCAGCCACAGCCAGAACCATGGCCGTGGCGGTGATAGGACGGGGCAGGTGGGACAGCGGGGTCGTAGTAGGCTCCGCTCAAGTGGGAATGTTTCTCTACCGTGGAATAACACGAGTTAGAAAGTTAGAGGTCTCGTGTTAAAATTTTAATACCTAGAAATAAGAGATAGGTTGAATTATTAAATATTAACTTAAATTAAAGACTTAAATCTCTATAGATAGTTAATAACAATGTAAAAAAAATTAAAATAAAATAAAATAAAATTTTGACACCTAATATTAAATGCTAGGAAATTATACCTTTTTTTTTTAGTATTTACTATCATGGTATCCCTAGACCAATTTTTCCTTATCTTGAGACTAATTTTTCCTTGACAATTTTAAGGACACACCTCTGCATTTAGAGTGCTGGCTTTAAAATTAAAAATCAGTACCCAATATACAAGGCAACATATATCTAGTCGTACATGCAACCCTCATGATTTCTACAAAATAATAACATTCTCAAACATGATGGTACTATAATAAGCCACAGAAAACATCAATTGTTAAATAATCCCTTCATATCATTGTCAAATTGGATAAGTTAGGACCAAACAATACAATTTCGTCAACATTTTCCTCTTCCAACAAGCCCATAGTCAACATCTTAACGTAAAAAAGAACATAATGATTCCTAAGTTATGTAAGATTAAGAAGGTTACAATCTAGTTTTTGTACATTTCAAAATTAATTCTTTTTAGACATATTTAAAGGTATACCTTATATTTAAAAAAAATTAATTTTTTTTAATGTTGACTTTAAATTTTAAATTCTAAAAATAACTTATAAGATAACATATACTTACTCATATATTTAAACATCTGAGTTTTTAGAAAGTAATACTCTTCTCAAACATGATGATAACATGATAAACCACAAAAAACATCAATTGTTGAATAATCCCTTCACATCATTGTCAAATTGGATGTAGAACCAAACCATTACAATTTTCCTTGACATTTTTCTCTTGCATGGAGCCCATAGTCAACATCTTAAAGTAAAATAACACATAAAACCCAAATTATGCAGGATTAGGAAGGTTCTGTGCACCACTTCACAATGCACCTATTTAATTTAACCCCCAAAATCGTACCTCTTTTACCCACCCACATTCGACGAATTAAACCGCGTCGGTTAATGCGTGCATTACCTTCTCGCCGTGTAGCATCCCCGAATCAAATTCCTTTTCCCACTCTAATTTTTCTCCCTATAAATACATTACCCCCTGTTTTCTATTCCAATTCGTCTCCTCAAAAAACAGAGCATATGAAGTATTGCAAACAAACTTAAGTAATTACTGATAATCTCTTTTTTGTGATAATAAAAGTTTTTGAATTTGAATCACATAACATGTGAGTAGAGTAAACGAAGGGACATAAAAAAAATTGTATATCATTGTGGAATCTCAAAATAATAATTAAGTATTAGTTTAGTGATATTCATTTATATGTTTTCAAAGTAGGGACATAATTAACTAGTTTAATGATGATACTTTACATGTGTTAATAGTATGTTTGATTTAGGGAACAGAAAAAAATGGAAATTTCTTGTTTTAGTTAGTGAAAAATTTGCAAAAGAGGGATGGGAGGGGAGTTTTTTATACTTTATATTTTATTTTTAATTCTTTCACTTATCTTATCGTTTTCCTCCCCTCTCTACTTCTCTTTGATTCCCTCAAATGAAATATACTGTAAAAGCATGAATATAAAATAGTTTAGTGAAAATAAAATTTTTATCAAAAAATTAAAATAACTTAATTTTTTTAATTTATATTTTTAGGTTACACATTAGAAGAGTATTAATTATACTCTTTTATAGTTAATTTACATAGAAAAATAAAAATTGATTTTAAATTTATGAACTATTTAATTAAAATCACTCAAATTATATTAGTGTTAAAAATAAAATTTATTTTTATTTATTTATAAAAATTTATTACAAAATGATACAATAAATATATTTTTAATTTGCTCTCAAGTTAAAAAAATCCAATAACTTATTTTTTTTTTTATCAGAAACAAGTTTTTTTATTTTTTTTGGTGTTTTCCAATGATGCTTTAATGAAGCTATAAAGTTTTTAAATATTTTTTCCCAACTTTTTTAGATCCAGTTTAAAACAGAAATTTCCATATTATTGATTTCAAAAATAAAAATGTGGGGTATGTTTCTTTCTTTTTTGAATGAATAAATTAGTGCAATTGATTTTTCTTATTTAATCCGTCAATTGTCGACCCGGTCAACCGTCAACAAAAGTCAAAATTACCCAAAATAAAAAAAAAACTTGAAGTTTCAATTTAATTCATTTTGGTCCTTGAATTTTTACTTTATCCAAGTCAGGTGCATGCAGTGTTAACACTTTAATTTAGTCCATATCATGTTGTCACAACTCGATTTTTTATTAAGTTTATTCAAACCTTTTACATTAAAAAAAACATATATATCATTTAAAATTGATCAAGGAAAATCATAAAAATTATAAAATGTCAAAACAACACAAAAATATAAAAAATATGAATTTTTCTCTTTTCTTTAACTAACATATATGTTATTTTGTTGCAGGTGCTGTATGCAAAAATAGAAAATTTTGTGAAGAAATTTGAAAAAAGAACAAAAGGAGGACTCAATCAAAAGAATTTAAAAGTTGAGGATGAAATCTACCAAAATAAAACCACAAATCCAATCCAATCCCAAATTTGGTTGCTGAAAAATGAATGGGAATCAAAGATTGTTCTGTTTATTTTGCCTGATGAATGTGCTTCTGGCTGAAATGAGATGCAACCGGAATGAACCCTAAATTTCCTTTTGTTGCTATCTAGATTCTATTTCTTTCTAATGTTTGATCTGCTTGTCTATTTTTGGTTGATGGTTCATGTTTTTGGGTCGGGTCAATCCAATAGATTTAAAAAAAAAAAACTAAAAAAGGGTAAAAAGTAAAAAAAAATATA